CCCCAAAACCCCAAAACCCCAGCAGGCTAAAAATAGGAAAATAAAAGAATGAGAATAGAATTAGATCTTTTTTAAGTTTAAATATATGCAAATTAACCTATCTAGGAATATATAGTACTTTTGGGTTATGACGTAAGTGATTTAAGAAATTAATGTGGTTATTTAAATATGCAGTTTAAGGAGCTTATCGCCATCTCAGATCTGCCTCATAGCAAATTGAATCAGTTACCCCCCAAGAATCCCTTATGATGAGGCCTTCTAAAGAAAAATTTTCCATCTTTCTTTCCCTTTTAGTGATCCTTAGGTGGTCTATCACCTCTGAACTCTTTTCCATCTTAGTGTTTATCTTGATGCTTATGATGTCTTTGGTTTTTGCCTTCATCAATTGTTTAGTTTTACTGAGGCTGAGGTACTGCTTGCTTTTCATTAGTTTTATTTATTCTTTCATAGTATGATTCCCAATAATGAGCAGTAATCTAGTTGTAAACCTCAAAGTATTCTTATTTGCTTGAGCAATTTTGAACCTTAGAAATAATATCTGCATAGACCTCTTCTATCTTTATGGTATTGTCGTAGGTAGCTAGGGACTCTACCAAAGAGTGGATGTCTTCTTTTTCACTTTCAGATAAGGTCCAGTCATAGTCGTAACCTTAGACTCCATATTCAGTCTCGTTTGATGAGCTATAGAAATCATAGCCAGTCTCATTTGTTTGATTTTGCTCATGAATATTTGTTTTGTTCATTAGGCCTTATCTCTCATCATTAGTTTATTACTCTAGATCCTTGAGGAGAGCATGAGCCCATTCTTGGAATTGAGATTGTGACGAAAATGTACCATTTGCAAAAATTACATATGAATTGAGGAAGGATTAGTGGTTATAAGTAGGAAAATCATGTTGAAGATTGTGTCTAAGTTCATAAGCACTATCAGAGATTTCTTTTATGAGAATCATATCAGAATCTTGGAGGTAGTAGGCTGATGGATTAATCAAACCCAAGCTCAAGAAAGTTTCGAGTTTTTCTCCGCTTGGCTTGTTATCTCTAGTGAAAAGTGCTTTCAAATTAGTTGACAACTTAGCTTATGTCAAACTGCTTACGAATAGAGCAACAACAGTTGAGAATAAAATTGCTTTTTGTGAAGGCATTTAATATTAATAATTAACTAATTTAAAGCCTGGTTCTATTTATATCCTGGTATTTATCAATTTTTGCGATCTCCTCATAGTGGGGTTTTGGGGTTTTGGGGTTTTGGGGTTTTGGGGTTTTGGGG